TGAGAAATAAAATTATTTAGTATTGCTAAAAAGAAATAATAAACTAACCATTATTATGATCATGATTATCATCATCACTAGCTATCCATATATGTTTCTTGTTACCCGATATATTTAATCAACAAACGTTGGGAACTGTATTGCAACAGTTATTTGTACAAAGCGAGCTACCAACTACTTTTATGAGAACGGTAATATAATTTTTTTAATATATATATATATATATATGATAATACTCCTAACCTCTTAATAAGACAATATTTCTTTCTGCTACACGTTTAATTCATTGAACAGGTAACTTTAGCCGTAAGAGCATATCACGCTTTGGGTGGATTCGTGAATGAAATGTTATCGAGACATATTTCACACATATGGGAAAATGAAGTTTTGCGTAAAGGATTTATTTTATATGTTACTGAATTTTGCTTAAAGGTATGTTTTTTTTTTTTCTTTTACTCAAATTATCAAATTTTCTTTAATCATTCGCTCATCTTTAATTAACATTTATAACAGGTACAACCAAATAATTTTCGATTCTTGTTACAATTACCAAAAGAAAAAATTTTGGATATTTTGAAACAACGGGATCAAACATTATCAAAAGCTTTAAAGAAATATATAGAAAATTTAAAACCTGAACAAAAAAGAACAATTCCTCAATTTTTATTTGAATTATTTGAAATTGGTGCTTAGAAATTTTTTGTTTTTTATTGATAAGATAAATTAAGATTGTTTAGGTTAACAATTGAAATGACAATAGAGTTTAATAATAAACTGTGTTTTACATGCAAATATCTATACATGATAAATTTTGATTATTGTTATTATATGATGCTAAAATCTTAATCGTTAATTGTTATTATGTGAAATGTTTTGTAATTCGAGTAAGCCAATGATACATGTACGAGCTGATGAAACATCGATCCTTCTTTTTTTAGAAGGATCGAAAAATGTCATCCGAACCCCGCTCTATCCTATCCTAACCAACCATTTTATGTTAGGTCTATTTTACCCGTGTATAAATTGTTTTTTTGTTTTTAACACCCGGTGTATGTATACTACCCATGTGTATATCGAGAAATATCAACAAAGCTTTCCTTGGATTGTTCAGTTAATAATCCACCCAAATTCCAAGGCATGAATACGGCCTTTACTTTTTTTGATCAACAGCCTTTCGGCACATGATAATAATGTTTTGTAGTCGCGTTCGAAAATTTTGAATATCATTGTATAATACTCGACCGGTATATGATTCCATTTTGAATATAATTGTACGTATAACACTCAACTGGTAATTCCATTTTGAAAATGTTAAAAAAAAATATCGTTAGAACGGAGCAGGGCGGAACACTAAAAGAAAGATAAAAAATTTGAGCTGGACGATCTTTTTTATTACGGTTGTACAACTTTAGTTTTTTTAATACCTGTTTGTATACCCGTGTGTAAAAGAGATATTTCAAATAAATAGGTTCGAATTGCTGGGTGTGAATGCATCAATATTTCACCCTTTATGTTTCCAATAAGATGAAAGTTAATAAATCAAATTTCCGGGCTTTTATTCTAAAAATTTCTTCGTATTTCTTAGTATTCTTCGTAATTTTGTAATAAACTTGAATACTAGTCATAACACTAATCTGACTATAAGCAAAATTTTTAAGCTTGTTATAATCAGAACAATTGATTATACTATCTAAAATATATTTCTTTAGATTTCAACTAACCTTCCTTGTGTCCAAAAGTTCGTTAATCTTCCTTGTGATCTCTGGTGCCTTCGAATCTTCTTTGGTTTTGTTAGCTAACGATAAAAGATCATTATCGCGCTGAACATGGCACAAGAAGGAAAGCATTTTATATAGCGTCCAGAGATATAAGGAATGTTTCCAAAATACTGTTAAACCAAAGCAGCCGACAGTTTTACACGAAATAGTGAAGATAGGAAAATATTAAAACTTGAGCAAATTATTCTAACAACTACGCGATTTGACCAATTATATCACAAGATCGGTGTAACAAAAATATCACGCTTCTATTTGATTGGTCTTCTAAAATTTTATCATCTATATAGTTATAGTAGACGCGTAAATCTAATTATACAAATTAATAGTAAGTGACATTAAAAAAAAAAACAAAATATCTTTAAATGTAGATTTATTACTTGCTATTTATGGTCACAGTTGATACTGATTTTGGCTGATGCTGATTTGGGATTTACTTTAATGCAAAATTTTATAATTTTGAGGTACATTTTTTTTAGCTTTTTGTAATAGTTAGACTAGAATTTAGTGTTAGAATTGTTAATAAAGAATATATGTAAGTTTTAGTAGGTGTAATGGATCGAATTGACATCAGCCGTGACGATAATTGTCGGTAAAATCTTAATGTCTCACTTTCTACTAGACTAGGAAAAGAGATACTGTTGAGCCATCAGTTAAAAATAGATGTAGACAAATAAATTCAATTTAAAAATAGGTGCGAAAAAGATTACGCACAAAATCTGGTCTATCACTACACCATAGATAGTGTTCCGCACGGTGCGAATATTTTTAAATATTCGGAAGTACGAAGAACCGTATCATCTAGTTCCAGATTCGATCCGAATCCAACCCAAGTTAGAATTCGAAACCATATCATGTAGATCCGGATTCGATCCGAATCCAACCCAAGTTAGATCACGTAGATCCGGATTCCTTATCGGCAGTTTGCTCATGTTCAAATGCGTTCATTGAAAAAAAAAATGCCTTGGTTCAAATATATTTATTGAAAAAAAGTAGATCCTTCATAAAGCCCTGCAATTCGAAATTACATCACATTTTTAAGTTCGGGTGGTTATTTTTTTCTATGAAGTGCGGATAGGTATACCAAATAAACATAAGGCTTTTGTTTTGTATTTTAATAATGCCAATTGAATCTACTTGAATCTAACAATTTTTATATTAATTTATCCACTGAAGTTATAAGAGATTATGAAATGCTAAACTATCCCTTATACTGTTTTACAGGCAAATTTGCCTGCAACTTTGTGAACAGATGCACTTTTCCCGGTATCTGGTATTATACTGTATAAAGACCAAACTGCCTATTCGAAAGCTTTCTGCAAATATCATTTTTGGCAGCATATGATTTTTTTTATCTTTATAAATTTTCGTTTACTTTTGGATCTCCTAGAATTCATGTAATTTTGTACGATGTTTTGCAGGAATTCAACCAATTATTCTTTATCCGCATGGGGCTTTGATATATATTATAGTAGCGATATATGATTTTGAAGATAAGAACGTGACTTTTAGCTAAATTATCAGATATTTGCGCCCAGACAAATTTGCCTGCAAATATCTTACGGTGTAAGGGATAATGTTGACGAAATTTCTTTGTTGAATGAAAAAAGAGCAACAAGAAGCTTAAGTAACGATTCATAGTAATGATTCATTAAAGGTAATGCCGAAGATATTAATACATTCAATTTTTATAGTATGTGCAGTATGTGCAGTATATAAAGGGTAATTAATTTTATGTTTTTTTTAGGTTACGTTTTAAAATAAATGAAAACGTTCTAAAGTCGTAAGTCTTAATAGGTAATCTGATATATAGTCCAATTTTTTCACGATTCCATGTTCACAAATGGTATTCAAAGTATCATATACACGCCGCCCTAGTTATGCTGTCAGTTTCAGAGACGGGGAATACTTCCATTACGAATAAAATGGAATTATTGTAGCTAATCAAATCTCGAATTATCTCAAAAGTTGAATTTTGACTGGCTAAAAAAAATTATTTGGCACGTCGGAATAAAATGGAATTTTATCTTGAAAGTATTCCGTGTTACTGGTCAGATCTCTCTAAATGCAACTCCCTAAATGCAATGCCTCTCTAAATGCAACCTTTAACTCTGGTCCAAATATATGCTGACTCTTATAAAGGCAGTTTTTCTTATAGTTCTTTATATGCAAGCTATCAAAAGTCTGATTCCTATGAGTTGCATTTAGGAAGTTAACTGTATATATGATTTCTTCCAATTTAATTTTATTTTATATGGATGTAAAATTCATTTTCAAAAAAATATTTTTTATTAATATTATAGACATTTTCAAATTTTTATAATCTTAACATTTTATATAATATTTTATTATATAAATAATTATAAAACGTTTATGCTATTAAATTTATTTTAATTTAAAATATTTAAATAAGGATTCTTAATATAATAAAATCTAGTTTTAATTTTTAGAAACACTTAATTTCATCAACATTAAATATTGTTAAACGGTTAAACAGTTACAATCCATATCTTTATTTCACATTAAATAATTGTAAATTTTGATTGATCAAGGACATATAAAGTGATGGTTAGGAAAAACTTTTAAATCATACTTTTTGAATAGTTACTTTTAATAAATATATTTTAAAATTATGTAACTTAGCAATTATTATTTTAATATCATTTGAATCGTATTAATGAGACGATTCGAATAACATCTAAATCTTAGGTATTCAGTTACTTTATTTCTAAGATATTTTTGTTAAAAGTAAATATTCAGAAAGCATGATAGATAATCACAGAGAATTGTGTTTAATAACTGTTGCTTTAACACACGGCCGATTATTTTTTTAAAAAAGAAAATCTTTTTCATTATAAAACTGTTACATACTTGGAATATTATAGGTATAATTGCACATTAGGTAGATGGGTCTGTGCGATATGCTGTTTAAGAGAGAGTTAAGCGAGTTTACAATGTAAATTAGACTCGAATCTCTAGAAACTGGAAATCTATATGTATGTGTAGAGAGCAGAATTAGTGACCAGTGTGTCTTAGTAAAGTTAGTACTATTTGATGCAATCAGAGTTTGAAAACAATGAAAAGTTGAATCTGCGAAATTAAAATGATCATGAATAAGTTGGCAGAACTTATGAGGTAAATTAGATAATGGAAAACAAAAAAAAAATTCATATATAGAAAACCAGCGCACTTAGCTCATGATTGTCCAGTTTAAAAATTTGGTAACAAAAAAGAAGGTCTAGTGAACAAACGTTGAGTACGTGGTGATTTGGAAACCGCGTGGGCAGATGTACGGTTTATGAAATATGTGAACGAGAATGCTAATAAGAATTTAAGAAACTGTAATCGTGATGTAAGAGTACAAGATTGTTGGAATTGATCGGTTTGATGATGTGGTGTACTGACAAGTAATAGATGGGAAGTAAAGTT